TGTTAGGTTTTTAATGTTGGCAATTCTGTGAATAAAATGACTAATTTGTAACGTGTTGTAAAAGTGAAGGAGCTCAGTACAATTTGTATAAATTGGGTTATGAGGTTTAGGGTTCGAGCATAAAAAGAGGAAAAACACGGCGTCGCATTTTCTCTAGTCTATTGTCGAGGTTTAGTGTGAGCGACAGGATTATACGGAAAACCCTAATTTGCGTTTTTAAACAGATTTTTCCGGCTCATTCAACCAATTACCATCTCCTATAAATGTCCAAGCCATTGGACGAAATTCGAAGGTAGTTTTCATTATTTTCACTGCCTCATCTTATTCTCTAAAGATCCAAGATCATATTTTTTCATTGTGTGCCATCATTTCCTCTTGAGATCATATAAACCACCTGTTTGGGAAAAATATCAAACTCATTAAATTGAAACACTGCCTACTTCTTATTGGTCATAGGAAGGCACTTTCTTAGTTGAATTTCAGAGATTGTTGGAGGTTGAGAGATGTTAGACTACAAGTGTAGGAAGAGAACAAGGCCTTAGAGCAGGTTCTTGGAATTTCGCTGGGAAGAGACAGTAGAAGACATTGGAGCAGGACTTGAAGCAAACATTGGAGTTAGGAGGAAATAGATTATGAAGTTTAGTGGAGTTAGCTAGATAGTAACTGACTGTACCGTATTATCTATAGTGGAGGTAAGGACTTGATCCCGAAATTTTTACCCAGTTGGGGTTTCTCCGTCATGATTTTGGTGTTCGTTATTTATTGCTTTCTTTATTACTGCGATATTCAAACTTAGAAAAATTGGCTTGTTTGATTAACTATCTAGAAACAATTAAAAGTGACTTGTTTCTTTTGATTGATTAATTCCGCACGTAGGGTCAAAACTAAAAACGGATACTTAATAACCATTCGGTAACTTAGTAGCTATTAATTTGGTAATCCGTATCTTTCAAGTGGTATCTAGAGCACTCGATTTTTCAATTGGTATCATAGTCCAAATTCGTTCTTTAACCTATATTATCTAGATAAGTAGTTCATTACATGTTCCGCCTTATTTTGATGGTAGTAATTATACCTACTGGAAGGTTAGGATGAGAGCCTTTTTGAAATCTATAGATGAACGTACATGGCTGAGTGTTGTGAATGGTTTGGTTACACCTAGTTCTATGGTTAATAATGAAGTAATTCACACTCCCATTTCTAATTGGAGTAAGGAGAACTTAGATGAACGTAACTGGAATAGTAAAGCCTTACATGCCTTATTCATGGCGATATCCCCGGAAGAGTTTAGGAGAGTGTCTATGTGTAAGGTAGCCAAAGAGGTTTGTGATAATCTACAAGACCACACATGAAAGAACTCAAAATTATAAATGCTGACCACTAGGTTTGAAGAGATTATGATGAAAGAGAATGAAACTTTTGATGACTTTATGCAAGCTTAAACGACATAGTAAATTCCAGTTTTAACCTAGATGAGAGAATCTCGGAGCCTAAAATTGTAAGAAAAAT